GGCATCTCTAAGGACAGTTGAATATCATATCTGTCTTATCTTTAAATATAGCCAGTATAGGTAGCCCTTAGGCCATGCCTTGAAAATGACAAACCTTTATAAAAATACTATTACTAGTATTAAATACACTGCCAAGCTGTTCATCGCTCCATACTGCAGCATAAGACCAGGAGACAAGACAGTAAGTTTTAATAAATGTTTTGATACTGCTGTCCTGTAACCTCAATCATCTTCTCCTTTTGTTTGCTTACAGAATGTGTATGCTTTGCTAATGCACATCTTTTCTGTTCCATAAAAGCAGATCAGATTTGTCAGAGCAAAACTGCTGTATGAACAGTGGAAACAAAGAATTTCCATATTTGTAATCCCCTCTTTTGTTTTCTCTTGCAACATTCATTACTGTAAAAGCTGGATAGTTGGTGGATTAAAAAAAAAGAAACAAAAATAGAAACAAGACTGTTGGTTTTGGCAGTATGTTTTTGTAAACAAGTGGCCTAAATTGAAGCAGAAATTCTAACGGGAAAAAGGAAGAGAACCAGAAGACTTGAAAATACAGCACAGAGCAGAGTCCCCACCAGATGGTATTTTTAATAAATTTATCAAGCGGATATGAAAGATGATAATGAACATTCAAAATAGGGAGTGGCAGACCCCCCTAGAGAGAAGGAACTGTATGGCACCTTCTGCACACTGCAATTAGTTAGAATCACTTTCTAATTAACCGTTGTAGGGAAGACCACCGAGTTATATTAAAAACACACTAAGGCGGCTTCTGTGCGGTTGTTAAGGAGTTTGACTAATCAGGGTAACATCTTCTTAGGAGGTCACGGATTAGTGCAGAAATCTAAATGTGTGAAGGAGCAGGATGATGCTCAGAGGGCATACAGGTAAAATACTGGATGAACTGAGCTGTACTGTGTTCAATTAATGCCTTACATAGCTCAGAGGGTGTCCAGAATATGCCATAGGGCCTCAACGTGAACACAGATTTTGACACTTCATCTTTTACTTGTTTTTTTTTAACCTAGATTTCAGTAGCTTCCTCTTCCTACAAAAAGCAGCAATATATAGAAGATGCTTTAATGCCTATGTAAAATGGATACTCAAAGAAGTTCCCTTACCGCCAGGGAAGAGGGGAAGAAAAGGAAGCCAAGGCAAACTTTATTTCGATTCCAGTACTCTTAGTTTGCATTGTTAGTCTTTGCTTTATTCAGATTGTTCCCAGTGAAGTAATTCTAATGTCTACCACCTGCTCCCCCATAAGAATCTGGGAATTTCTGAATGTCTCTTTTCAATAATAGGGAATCAAGAGGTTTCTAGAATGATAATATGGTGGGTTTAGTAATTTTTTATGAGCAAACAGAGATGATAATATGTTTGATAGTGCAGTAGATTTTTCAGAAACCATTGCCTTTCCACTGCCTTGAATTATTACTTGGCAACGAGCTTGCACTTTTTTCCCCCTGTGTGTTACATGGTGCTTTGGTTGGTTGGTGGTTTTCTTAAGATCATGCTCCTGACACCACTCGCACACTTAAAACACAGAATCCTAGCTCTTCATGGAAAATTATCACTTTTTTGGGTGCTGGAGACTCTTACAATTAGCTCTGAAATTTCATATAGCTATATTTCAGCCGTTTTCAGATGTTGTAGTATTTTAAATACATATTTTACAGACAACTATTGAAAGTATGTAATTAAGTTATCAGTGTACAGTGGGCTTAAAATGGTACATCTGCATCTGTAGTATACATCATTTTTTTTCCTCATGAAAATTCAAATAGTGTTGGTTATGTGTCTTCTGTATTTCTAATTTTTTGGTGTCATTCTTGTTTTGGCTTGTTTGTCATTCTTTTCCTGATTTTTAGAAATGTTTGGTTTGACATATTGTGAATTTGGAAATTTTGTTAAATTGATCATTGTCATTCAGATAGTTTTTGGTAACTTATTTCTTCCTCTCTCTTTTAAATTGCATTACTACACAGATTGGTTGTCCTTCATCAGAGTTAACACACAAAATCTTAGCTTTTTTTTAATACAGCCTGTGCTGAGAGAATTTTTGTTATCATTTAGATAAGACAATCAGTGCTTTTAACATTTTCCCCCCAAAAAAACCAAAGGCTCAACAGGCAACCTGGATTTTCACATGTTCAGATAGCATAATTTTTCACCCTTGTTTATATTAATTTTTTGATTGAGAGAGAGAATAGAGAGTGACATAGATGTTTGAGAAGTTGAGGAGGTTAGCTGAAAGCTGAGCTTTTTAGGAAAGTGCTGGACCTGACTAGGGCATCTTAAATAGCCCATTTTTTTTTTATGTTCGTCTGTCATCTTGCTGGAAGGTGACGTTCAAAAACGTCACCTTGGGATTCTGTCTGAAATACAAACAGAAAGAAAGAACCACACTAAGTCTTGAAGCACTTGTAAAAGAGTGCTGGAAAAGTACTGTATGCACAAGCAAACGCACCACCTTCTACAGCGTGCTCCCAGAGGAGCTGCTGTTGTCTTGATCTTTGATGAAATTGCTGAAATTATGTCAAGCCCTAACTACACTATGAATTCTGTTTGGTTTGAAAGGAAGGGGGAAATTACTTGGCATTGGATTTAAATCAGATTGAGCAGGACTAAGTACGTACAAGAAGAGCATTCCTCTCCTCGGAAAGTTTTCTATAAACCAACACTAAAGTTACATCCTTTGCTAAAGAAGAATAACTCCCAATATTACACTTCTTTTATTGCCAAATACGTAATATTCCCCTGCTTCTAAAAATGACTAGTAAAGGGTTACATTATCTAATTCAGTTTATAACAGCAGTTTCCAAGCTAGAGCATTCAATTTTGGATGGACCAGGGAGAAGGAAGAACTGAAGTTGGATGATGCTGACGCACGGACCACAGTGTCGGATATGTACACTGACTGCAAGAGGGGTTGTAGAGGTGAAAGAAAGCGTTCATTATAGATGTTGCAGCACAAGGTAGCAGTTAGCACTGGCCTGTGCAATTAGAATTGTAATCTTACATTTTTTTAACTGAAACTCCCTTCTTCTTGTCATGGTTTTTCCAGGAACACTTTTACTAATTGGAAAATTCTTTGAGTTCCCTAACTTGCTCATTTTCCCTGTAATACTCAAATAATTGCATATAAGGTGAATGAAGGAAGGCAAGTTCGATATTCTGCAGTAATACCTTTGACTTTCTTTGGCATAGCAGGCTACTGCTTGCTGGCATTTTTTATGGCTGCATATAGGATAGAAAAAAGCATTATCCAGCATAGATCTTCGATGAAATTAACGTGGCGGGGGGGAAGTACTGTATAATTCCATCACTGTCTCCTGGAGGAAAATCATTATCCTGTGTTTTGGCCTTTCTTTTTTCGAGAGCATGGGTTCTAAGTAGTTTCTTTTCTTTTGCTGTTTGGATATTATAATTTCTTTTTTGTGGCATTCAGTCATACTGTTTCCCTGACTCTTGACTGAATGAGAAATACTTCTGCACTTGCTGTTCCATTTGTGTGGCAAACCTGTTGATCTCTCCTTCCCTCTCATAGTCCAATGCTTGTATTGAAGGATTTTGTAAGTATTAAAAAGCATTTCCGTTTTCTAAATTCTGGGAGTTAATTTCTAATCACAGTCAGAGATACTGTCGGAAGTACCAACAGATACGTGTTGAGAATAGTCTGCTGAGCTGTGAGACTTCAAGCCCTGGTTTCAGAAAATTTGAGTCCTGACTTCCCACAGTCGACATCAGTGCCTTAAACTATCTCCCACTTATTTCTCTCTCTTTCTCGTGCGCCCTCTCCTTTTTTTCTTCTTTCTTTTTTTCTTTTTTTTGGGGAGGAGGGAGGTTTCATCATGAAAACAGAAAGAAATTGTTTGAAAATTTCAAGTGTTTTGCTGGACAAGAATTTTTTCCCAATTGTATTAAAAGAGTGCTTTCATATCACCAAGACAGAAATCCATCTGTTAATTTACCAAGCTATTCCAGGACCAATGCTATAAAAATTATCTAATTATCTGTACCACTTGATTCTGCTTCATAGTTCATGTTAAATAAGAGTTAAATTTCCATGTGTTGATCATACTTTCATGCTTTTTTTTTTCTTTTTCCCAATTCTTTGCCAGAAATGAAGACCACTGGTATCTGAACTGTTTTCTGACTCTATGTCTGTTGTCTTTGTGTTTTAATTCACAGTTCCCACTGAAAATGTTGCAACAATTGCAGACTGTGCCAGTGTGATTGAGGGTGTAAGTCGCAGTCGCAATGCCTTGTTGAATGGAGACACAAAAAACTATGATTGGGATTCTGGGTACACGTGCCATCAGCTTGGGAGCGGAGCTATTGTAGTACAGCTAGCACAGCCCTACATGATTGGATCAATACGGTAAGAGGGTTTATTTTTCTCTAAATTAAGGGCAACAGTGAAACTTTTGCTGAGCACAGTTATTTTCTTTAGAATATGACATTTGGAAGCGGTGGTAATAGGGGACTAGTTTAGTAGTTGTCATGTGGCTTCTTACTTCAGTATAATGGGCATGTTAAAAATCAAATGTGTGAATTACATGTTGAGATACAGCAGTGCAATTCCAGAAAATACTACATTTCAGAGGCATAATAATAGTAATAGTCAAATTGTAAGATTAAAGGTATATACTTACATTAAAATATAAATTTAATTGCAGCCTCACTTGTGGTCAAAGCAGGTGCCGTTCCTCATATCCACCTCATTGTGAAAACAGAAACATTATTAAAGAAAGCCATCATCTCAAGTCAGCCAGGTTTCCTTTTCACTATACAATTAGTACCAGCTCTTACTTGAACATGGAGTGTATAATAAGGGTGCAGTAACCTGAATATTGCTTTACAGTGTTGGATTAATGAATGTGTTTAGATCTGGATTGAAGTTCATTGGGCTATTTCTATGGTGAATGTCTGTACATATATGAAGAACAAACTTTTGGCTGATGTAGAAACTTTGGAAATAGATTAGAGAGCGGGATTGTTCACAGGTGAAGACAAAAATATTCTTGACAACTTCAGATTCTCTGACTGTAAATGGTTTTTTGTTTCGTAAAATCAGACCTACAAAACCTTGCCTTAATGGCTTCCCGTTCTTTGTAAATTTAGAAAATGTTGTCAGGGACTTAATTTGTATTCTCTGTGACAATGAAAAAAAAGAGAAAGGTTTCTGAAGTTAGAGTACCAGTGACCAAAGGTTGAAACCCCAGTTTCAAGCCAGAAACTGGCTTGCAACGGAGACCATGCACATAGGTGCGTATTGCTGGGAACTAGATCGGTGCCGTCCACCTGATAGAGTTGCCTCTTCAAACTGACTGATGAGCAAGTGAGACTTGAAAGCTCTTTTATAACTGCCAATTTCTGTTTTGTGTGTTTTGGTTTTGCCTTGTGGCATTGTTATGATGGTTATAAAACTTTGAAGATAAAGTTTAAAATCAGACATCCAGGCAAATCTCTAACCTAACGAAAGTACTGTTTTGTCTGTATACTAGCTATACATGTTATGCATAATGCAAGTCCGGCATTGTTCTCACTGCGTGAACCAAGTTGAATAAGTATAGTTGGCAGCTTTCCACTCTCAAGGTTTTATGCTTTTGAGTTTGGTGTTTTTAATGTTCAATTAAGTATTGCATCTCAAGTAGAAAACCAGGAAGACACAGTACTCAGATTTCTTAAAAGAGGTAATTAAAAATGTAATTACATCATTTTCATGCCACTTGAAACTTAAATTTAAGTAGCAGCAGAAGGTTTGGCCACATGAAGGAGTAAGAGAAGAATGTAAAATGCATAGTTTCTAAGTTCATAGTCTCTGTCTTCCTATCTTACTGTTTTCAGCTATCTTTCAAGCGGTGAATCATACCATCTTTTCAAGTCAGTGCAAAAAATTGACTTTCCTATATTAAATACTATGCTAGTGTTTATTCTTGAGCAGAAGATTTTTAATAATCATAGAATCATAGAATCATTAAGGTTGGAAGAGACCTCCAAGATCATCGAGTCCAACCGTCAACCCAGCACCACCATGCCTACTAAACCATGTCCCTAAGCGCCTCATCTACCTGTCTTTTAAATACTTATTTAATAACTTATTTAATAAGTCTCATTATTAAATAGTATGTTAAGACTTTTGGTTGCCAAGAAATGATAATTGTATAATCGGCAAGTGTGTAGAGCAAGATAAAAAAACCCCAAACATTACATAATTTGAAACTAATAGGCATTTAGTGATTTATGTGGTATTGCATTATACAGATACAGGGTCAGAATCTCACCTTTCTTTGACAGCTTTCCTGCATGTATAGTACAAACAAGATGAATAGCTTGCCTTAAAAAACAGTAATAAACATCATCATCTAGGGTATCTTCTGACAGAGGAGACTACCTGCATTGCCTAAAGACAGAAATGCTAGCACTATGTCATCTTTTCCTTTTTGTGTTCTGCCTAGAAGAACAAGTGTTTTGAGTTGCAGCCATGTCTGTTGCAGATCATGAGCAGCCAAGGGAAAGATGCCCCTTTGAGTGGGGAAGCAAGGTTTCACTATGTGGCAGCTACAGCTTTGGCAAGGGCCTAGAACATGTCCTGTACTGTGCAACGCTAAAGATGGTGACAATGGTCTCTTTATTTAGCACCAGGAAATCTGTGACTGGTACTGAAATCAAATCACATATAAACGTAGATTAGAGCAAAAAGTCTTAATATTTCATCTTAATGAAAGCAAGAGATTTTTTTGAACAGAACGCCCTTCACAACTGGTTGAACTGTATTCACTGCCTGTTTGCTTGCTTGAAAACTCCCTTGATCTCACCCTCCCACCTAATAGAAAAAAATTTCCAGGAGCATTTTCTTTAGGCTGGCTGTACACCGTGACTGCAGAATGACATGAATTGCTCTACCCACAGAAACCGAGTCATTAGACCCGTGAGTTTGGATTCTAAATTAATAATTAGGAATTAAAGTACGTATCTTTTAAGTTCAGAGACATGAATGTGCCATTGAATAGATTTGTATCAGACAGAGTAAATATATGAGCCTTTGAAAAAAGTCTAGTAGCTGCTTTTAGTCTATAGAAATTGGAATACCGCTGGAGAGAGCCTCCAAGTCAGAACATGTTACCATGGCAACTAAATTCTGAGTATGAAAAAAGCAGAATTTTTGGTACTCAAATATGCATTAAAAATGCATAGTGACCTTAATGTTTCAGGAGCGTATCTTGTATGCATGCTTTCTGCAAAAGTCATCCCATTGTCTTAGAATCTTAGAACCATTCAGGTTGGAAGGGACTTGAGGAAGACATTTAGCCCAGCCTGTTCCTCAAAGGAGGGTCAGCCATGAAGAAAGACCCAAGGCTTTATGCACTCAGGTCTTGAAAACCTCCAAGGAAGGAAATTCCACAACTTCTCTCGGTAACCTGTTCCAATGTTTAATTATCCTCACGGTGTACATGTTTTTGTTTCCTTTTCATGCGGTTCTTGTTTTGCCTCTAGTCCATCTGGAACGTCCTGTTTCAATTTTTGACCGTTGTCTTTTGTTTTTCCCGTTGTGCACCTCAGTAAAGAGCCTGGCTCAGCCTTTCTGATAACCTGCTCTCAGGTATTGAAAAGTGCTGTTAGCTTCCTCCCCAACCCCAAGCCTTTTAGGCTAAACAAGCCAATTTCCTCAGCCTCTTGCACAGTGTGTGTGCTTCAACCTTCCGACCATCTTGCTGGTCCTCTGCTGGACTTGCTCAGATCTATCAGTGTTGTATTTGGGTCCAAAATGGGATGCAGTATGCCGGCTGTGATTTAAGTGTCACGTAAAGGAGAATCATCTTTTCCCTTGTTCTGCTGGCTCAGTTCCTGTTGCTACAGCTCCATATGCTGCTAGCCTTCATTGCTGAGAGGGCACACAGGCAACTGATGGCATCCTCTGTTCAATATGACTCCCATGTCCTTTTTAGCACAGACAGTCAGACTGTAGCATTTACTACTGCGGTGAATTAGTCTGTGTGAGTACAGGATTTTGCTTTTGATCTTGTTGAATTTCATGAGATTCTTTTTTGCCCATGCCCTTACTCTTCCCAGAGGCTGGCAATCAGTCCTCCTGAATGGCAGCCATACTCTCGAGTGTATCAGTTGCACCCCACAGTTTGCTGTCATCTGCAAGCTTGATGAGGGCTCATTCTATCTCCTTGTCCAGGTCGCTGATAAAGATATTAAACAGGATAGGTCCCAGAGTAGACTCTGGAGGAACTCCTCTTGCATCCAGTCTCTGGGTGGATGATGAACTGTTAAGCACTGCCTGTTGAACTAAACAATCTAGCTAATTTTTACCTGTGTTGTAGTCTACCCATCTAAACTGTAACATCCCAATGTGGATACAGGGATGCTATGGGAGACAATGTTGAAACCTTGTTAATATCAAATATTTCTTCAGGTATTTATATATAAATTTGGAGCTCTTGACTTCCACATCAAAATTTACTCAGAAATTCTGAAACAGATGTAATGATAGTCTGTGGTCAATAGTATTTTCTAATAGAAAGGACCTGGAAAACATGGGGTTTGGACTAGATGACCTTTAAAGGTCGCTTCCAACCCAAACTATTCTATGATTCTATGATTTTATTTTAAAATAATTGTAACTAAATATTGTCTTTTAGATTATAGAAATTAAAATATTTTTTATTTAAGAGATTTATTCTTTTATTAAGACTCCTACTTGGAACAGCTGCAAGATACTTGCAACAGTTAACAGAGAAAATGTTACTTTAGGTAGTTTTTCCACATTCATAGAATCATAGAATCATTAAGGTTGGAAGAGACCTCCAAGATCATCGAGTCCAACCGTCAACCCAACACCACCATGCCTACTAAACCATGTTCCTAAGCGCCTCATCTACCCGTCTTTTAAATACTTCCAGGGATGGTGACTCAACCACTTCCCTGGGCAGCCTGTTCCAATGTTTAACCATTCTTTCAGTAAAGACATTTTTCCTCACGTCCAATCTAAACCTCCCCTGGCGCAACTTGAGGCCATTTCCTCTCATCCTTTCGCCAGTTACTTGGGAGAAGAGACCGACACCCACCTCGCTACAACCTCCTTTCAGGTAGTTGTAGAGAGCGATGAGGTCTCCCCTCAGCCTCCTTTTCTCCAGGCTAAACAACCCCAGCTCCCTCAGCCGCTCCTCATAAGACTTGTTCTCCAGACCCCTCACCAGCCTCGTTGTTGTTGCTACAGCAACAACACATTGTTGCCTGTCTGGACAGAAAATAACCTTGCCATTTTTCCTCTCTGAAAAGGCCCTCATTAATGACAGAAAAACTATTATATTTAACTAGGAACAGAAAGACAGCAATTGGTGTGTTTAACATAGTAAACATAATTTA